GCTTGCGGATCAGGAGCTCCGTCGACTTCTGGTAGCGGCGGATCTCGCGGAGCGCGACGGTGCCCGGGCGGTAGCGGTGCGGCTTCTTGACGCCGCCGGTGGCGGGGGCCGACTTGCGCGCCGCCTTGGTGGCGAGCTGCTTGCGGGGCGCCTTGCCGCCGGTCGACTTGCGTGCTGTCTGCTTGGTGCGTGCCATGGTTGGTTTGAGAGTGGTTGGTTGGTGGGGCTAACGGTGCCGGGTATTCGCTAAGAATCGACCTGCGGGTGAGGGCAAAGCCCTGCAGCGGCGCGCCGGCCGCGAGGAGTCTCGAGCCATCGCCGCCCTCTGGACGGCCGCCTCCCTCGCCGCCCTCCCCCTCGGCCCGCCCGGCGCCCTCCCCGCCTCGCCGCCGGCCGCGCGTCGCACGGTCGCGCGCCGAAGGCGCCGGCGCGTGCGGAGCCGCAGGGCTCGCCGACTCCCCGCAATTGCCGAGCCGCGGCACTGCATGAGTGCAGCTTGACGACGGCTTGCCCGGCTATGTGGACGAGCGTGAGGCCAGGTGACGCGCCTCGGCCCACCCTCATCCTACACGGAGCAGTCGCTCACCTCATCCCGCTCTCGCTAAACCGCCTTCCATTTCGCCGGTCTCCCATGTCCACGACTCTGATTCCGGCGCGCAAGCGATCGACCCGGGCGGAGCCCTAAAACATCCGCTCTGCCCGCCGACTGCGGCCGACTTCTTCCGCTGGAGCGGCTCCAGCCCTTTGGCGCCGTCGTGCACGGGCTGCCAAACCTCGCTGGCCACCGGCCGACGGCGCGAGTCCTCGCCTGCCTCGCCGACGCCGCAGCGGAGCACGGCTACCCGGTCTTTCGGAACCGGTCTCTGCCAGGCATGGCGCTGCGTGCGGTGAGCGAGTACTTTGGCGGGCTTGCCGCCGAGCGCACGCCACGCCGCTGCCGCGCACTGCGATTCCTGCGGCTGTCAAACCGGGAGGAGCACGGAGTCGTGCGAGTCGGGCCGCAGTGGCACGCCGACGGAAGCTTCGAGCGGCGGGTCTTCTCGCACGTGCTCTTCCACGCGCAGGCCGTGCCCCGCGTCGGCGGCGGGACCGAGATGTCCCACCTCGCCGCCGCCTTTGACGCCCTGCCCGCAGCGCAGCGGGAGGCGGCGGGCCGCGTGAGACAGCGACCGCGCGCCAAGACCTTCTCTGTTGAGCCCGGTCACGTCCTTCGGTAGGCGTGGAGCCGGCTGGCGACTGTCAACGCCTACTCCGGCGCCGTCCACCCGCTCGTCCACCTCCACCCTCGCAAAGGCCACAAGGACGCTCTTTGTCCACCCTCAGCCAGAAGGGCCCCCCCGCCCCAGAGAAGAGAGAAAAAAAGGGGGGCGCCAGGCGAAGGGCCCCCCCCTTGGCGCTGGTCCGAACCGGCCCCCGGGGGCTTCCT